AGTACTGGCAAGATGGTATTATTTGGAATGACCCCAGTTACCAAATTTTCAAAAGGAAACAGATCAGAACATATTCAAACCTGGGGAAGGGGGGGGGGTTGAAAGTTATTTTCCTTCGGAAGGGCCAAACAAGGTTCATGATAAAGGGTAAGTGTCTGGGCGAGATGAATAAATTCATTGTTCACCTTGGCTATCAGACTTATTAAACTGGCCTCTTTGGCAGACACTTAAAGGCTACCTAGTCATCCAGAATCTCTAGGCATGACTCGGAATGTGTGCTGACAAGCGCCCACCAGAATTCCGGCAATGAGGTGAAACCAAAGTTCACTCAACTTTGTCAATCCATTGTGAAGACTGCAGGCTTCGACCTCGAGACTGACATCAGTGTGCCTAGCACCCACAAGAAGCCTCAAAGAGGTTAGTGAAGAAATGGCTCTGCACTAGGAGTCCATGGTGGGGAAATCACAGCAACGTCATTAACCAGTAGCCAAAAATATCCCACTCTAAAACAGGGGTACTGCCCTGCATTTGTGGGTTTCACACTTCTGTTTTTAGTAATGGAACAAGCATCCTCAAATTGATCAAAACCTGGAAGGGGGGGGGGAATCACAAGTAGGTGGATGGTGTCATTAACATGAAGATTTACTACTCTTCACTGCAAAAGTTTTAATATGTATTTTCCGAAATAATACCAAAGAGTCCAACCAGTAAATCAAAGATTCAATAATTTAATGAACTTACTCTCAGAATGAAAACACATTTATTATATGTTCTAGCCTACAAATATTATGCTACACTAGACCCCAGAAGAAAAGGTTGTTCTAGAGCTAGAAAAGCATAAATCAATTACATTAAGTGATTTAAAAATAGAATCTGATTTTAAAACTTCATTCTTTGAATTCAAGAAAATCCTATAACAAAATAAAAACAGCTAGCTAACACAATACCAAGTGCTGACAAGGACAGAAAATAACAGACTCCCAGTCATTCCTGGAACGTGTGCAAAAGGGTACTTTGGAAAACTGTAAATGAAATCCTGTACATAAAAATTTATAGTGACTTTATTTATAAATAAAACCATTATTTACAAACCCTGGCACATCCCTATTTAAACAATAGATAGCCAGGACTGGTGACGCAAGCAAGCCTGTAATCCCAGCAGCTCGGGAGGCTGAGGGAAGAGGATTGCCAAATTCAAAGTCAGACTCAGCAACTTGGTAAGGCCCTAAACAATTTAGTGAGACCCTATCTGAAAATTAAAAAAAAAAAACAGGCTGGGAAATGTGGCTCAGTGGTTAGGCACATACACAAACACACAGACATACACATACACACATAGTGGGCAAACAGGAATTCTCCCTGGCGTGTTGCCAGAAATGTAAATTGGTACAAACACCTAGGATAAGAATTTGGTAACACACAGTAGGTGGAAGAGGGTTGCACTATGCTCTAGCAAGACCAGGCCTCAAATGTTCTGCCCTGAAGATGCTTCCCCAGGTTAGGTCAGTCACCACGTTCATCATGCTGCTGTTCTTTTTTTTTTTTTTTTTTTTTTTTTTTTTTTTTTAAGAGAGAGTGAGAGGAGAGAGAAAGAATTTTTAATATTTACTTTTTAGCTCTCGGCGGACACAACATCTTTGTTGGTATGTGGTGCTGAGGATCGAACCCGGGCCGCACGCATGCCAAGGGGAGCGCGCTACCGCTTGAGCCACATCCCCAGCCCATCATGCTGCTGTTCTTAACAGCACACTCAGCAGGAGAATCTGGAAGTCGTGACATATTTAAGCAGTGGAATAAAGTGAACAGTAACAGAAATGACCTCTAGCCAGTTGGGCCAACATGACTTGAAAAACCATCACTCATACTCCAGAGTGACTGAGTAGACTGCAGAACACACACCCCATGAGGTCTTTCACTTATGGTTTTAATGATGCAGTCAATACTGCACCGTGGTTTATGGATGTGTAAACATGTCTCACAGAAGGAAAAACATGGGCTGCAAAGCTGCTGTGAAAAGAAAGGAGGAGGAGATAAGATAAACGAAGTCACTAAAAGGATACCTGTAATGCTTTATTTTCTGTAAAATGAAAAACCTGAAGCAAAAATGACAACATGCTTAGACTTATTAGATCTGGGCACCTGGCACAAGTGTTCATTCTTTCATTTTCTTTATATTTGTAATTTCACAATTAGAAACAAAAACTCTTTGCAGACTATCTCTATGATGGCACATGGTGGCAACACACCTATAATCCCTGCTACTCAGGAGGCTGAGGCAGGAGGATCCTAAATTCAAGGCCAATCTCAGCAACACAGTGAGACTTTGTCTCAAAGAAAGGTTATCTCTAGAAGGATCCAAAAAACCCAATAAAGCAGTTGCCTCCAGGGAAGGGAACTGGAATCACACAGAAGGCAGACTCCCTCCCTACGCCTATCTTACACAGCCTTTTGAATTTTATTCCTTTATCTATTTATTTTTATTCTCTACCTATTATTTTAACTACAAATAAATTTGATGCCCTCTTCACCTCTAATCCCACTTTCATGGGGGAGGGAGGGCAATGACCCTCTAAAGTATTCTTACTAAGATAAAAAAAAAAAATGCCCCTGAAGACGGGATGAAGAAGCTCTACCATCTGGGCAGGGAAACCTCCCCACTCTGAGGGTCATACCACTTCTAAAACTCCATCTTCCATGAAATTATAGACATTTCCCCAAAAGCCAGACACCAAAAGTTCTCACTGTGCCACAGCAGCGACAGCAGTTCTGACGTTACCTGGGGAGGAAAACGCTCACAATCTGTTAGCTCCACACAGCCCCTCTGCAGTGGTTGCCTTGTCCTCGGTGGACAGAGATGTACACAGATAGGCAGCCACCATCAGTCAACACAGCAGGAGGCGGGAGGGCAGGAAGTGGGGGTGGGACACTTATCTGATGACTTATTTTCTTAATGAACTGAGCAGTGGGGGTCATGGTGGAGACTAAGGAGGCTATGTATGAGAGTGGGCAGAAGAGGCTGTGGAGGGAGTAAAAGGATCTGACCAGAGATGAGGACAAAATTCAAGTCCCTTTGTGCCTAGAACTCAAATTACTGAGAGAGAAAGTTGGCTTCTCTCCAGCTGAGTTCAACCAACAACAACCACACACACACACACACACACTAAACAGGACTGAATCACTGAGGAAACTTGACAATTCCAGGGGTAGCTCAGAGTAAAGAAAGTGTGAAGCTAGTAAGATGACAGCCCCATGCCTACCTACTGCAGGTAAAAGGGGCCAGGAAGGTGAAGCTAGAGACCACCAAAGGGTATGAAGAACAGGACTGCCGGAGCAGAGGAGTGAGCTACAAAGGGCAGCGAGAGTGCACACAGGACACTCTCTAAACTTGAGCTCTCCAAAGTGTCACCTGGGAGATGACAAGGCTGTGATGAGCAGAGGTGAAGCTTCCTGCAAAAGAGAAAGTGAAGGGACAGAGAGGTCCAGAGGCCATATGAGCCTAGAAGACACAGTAGAAAGAAAGTGACAAGCCAGGAGTTGACATTCAAGGAGCATAAAATAAGGCCAGGAAGTGGGCAGATGACAGTGAAGACTCTAAAGGGTTTCACAGAAGACTGGGGCAGTCTTCAAAACTGACAGTGTGGTTGAACCAAAGACTTGGCCCGCTGCTCTCTCTACCTGGAATCACTGTGACCCTGGAGAATTCCTAGTCATATTTCAGATCTCTACTTAATATCGATGGTAGCAAATCCTTTTCAGACTCCTCACAATCTAAATCATACACTATGCCCTTTGCCTTGAGTTCATGCAGCAAGGAATCCACATGTCTGAATCTATGGTTCCTAAGTTGTGGCTAGCAAAAAATGATATTTTGTAAAGGGAATACCTGAAAACGTGTTGGGCAAATCATAGTGTCAGGAGTGCAGGCCTCTTGCACATTGGCTTCAGGACACCTTAGCCACATAGCCTCAGAAGTAATCTGCTTCGATCCAAGAACTGCCAAAACTGCCAAGGCTCATTTTTTAGTTTAATGGGATTCTCATTCCATTGATTGCTGAAGAGAATATGATCATGTGTGAGCTTTCTTATAAGAAAAATGTGAAAAATCATAAAAAGAGCAGAAAATTAAAATTTACCACTTATAATTCACTCAACAAATCATAAAATTGGCAAATTATCATTAATGTCCCTTTAGCAGAGAAGCACATGACATAGTGCAAAATGTTTCTAGGTAGTCCTTCAACATTGTCAATCAAAAGCTCTAAAAATATACATACACTTTGACTCAACAATTTTACTCTTAAAGAAATTGATCCTAGGGCTGGGGATGTGGCTCAAGCGGTAGCGCGTTCGCCTGGCATGCGTGGGGCCCGGGTTCGATCCTCAGCACCACATACCAACAAAGATGTTGTATCCGCCGAGAACTAAAAAAAATAAATATTAAAAATTCTCTCTATCTCTCTCTCTCCTCTCTCACTCTCTTTAAAAAAAAAAAAAAGAAATTGATCCTAATAAACTAAATTAGGCTCAAATTTTTCAGAATTGAGAGTTAAAATACTGCTTAGAGTAACCCAAATTGGAGAGGAAAACATTACTGCTTGTGTTTTTTTTTTTTTTTTTTTCCTTTTCTTTTTTTGCAGCACTGGGGATTGAACCCAGGTCCTTGCACATGTTAGGCAAGCACTGTATAAGAGCCACATCACCAGTCCCTGTAATCTCAAAACAGAATATCATGGGCATTAAAATACTGGTAACAGCAGTGCTCACCGTCATGGCAATGTGTTGAGTGTATCTGTGAGTGGACAAGAAAATGGCAGGTCGTAACCCAATGTGACGATCCCTTTTCAATGAGTGTACATATATACATGCAGAAAGGGGGAAACAACTGGCCAAGGTAGCGTGTACACACCCTTAACCCAGTGACTCAGGAGGCTGAAGCAGGAGGATTCCAAGTCCAAGGCCAGCCTCAGGAACTTAGCGATACCCTTGCCTCAAAATAAAAAAGGCTGGGGATGCAGCTCAGTGGTAAACCACCCCTGGTTTCAATCTCTAGGAACAAAGAAAAGGGAGAAATACCAAAATGGAAAGTGATTATCTCCAGATGATTGACTTTTTCCTATGTTCTTGTTTTTCTACAATGTTTATGTACCCCTTTGAAAAAAGTATTGCCTAAGAACAATACTGAAACCCTAAACTTCAACTTGTCTAAGACTATAAGCTATGGAACATATTTGAGATTCTTGGGATTTAAAAAACTGCTAAACATATGTATATTAATTTAGAATATGTTAAGAAAAAAATTGTTCTTTTTTAAGCCAGGGTGGTGGGGAATCAATTTACCTGATGAACTGATTCATAAGTATTTTCCAGGAAAAGGAAAACCTTTAAAGTTGAAAGGGAAAAAGTGAGGAAAGGGAAGCTGTGGGGACATCACTCGTCTATGAGTATGCATTATTCTGCAGTTCCTGAAACACAAGTGGCCTACCCTATGAAATACCAAAAATCCCACAGTTTAGAAGTTGAAAACATTCCTCAGTGGTAGATTTCCTGGTGCAGATTAGCTACTACATAATTCCATATGTTTCTTTTTATTTTATTTAATGTAGCTCCTAAAAAGTTACCTGTGTGGGGCTGGGGATGTGGCTCAAGCGGTAGAGCGCTCACCTGGCATGCGTGCAGCCCGGGTTCGATCCTCAGCACCACATACCAACAAAGATGTTGTGTCCGCCAAGAACTAAAAAATAAATATTAAAAATTCTCCCCTCTCTCTCTTTAAAAAAAAAAAAAAAAGTTACCTGTGTGACTCCTACTATAATTGTACAGGACGGTGTACTGGTCTCAAGAAAGTAGATTCAAGGAAATGAGAAAAAAAAAATTGCACTTCCAAGCACACAACCATGGTGATCATGCTGAGTGTGAGAACTTCTGATACCCTGACTTCTCTCTCTCTCTCTCTCTCACACACACACAGTGGCATGGCCATGTATCTTGGCCCAAATACCAAAACAAATCCTATAATTGATATTCTACACAATTAGCCCTGCAGCCTGCATGGACAGCAGCTGCCTGCCGTGACCTAAATTTTCACACATGCAGAACCAGGAGAAGGAAGGAAGGAGCCAGATGTGAACAAGGCTGAAGCAGAAATCCATGTGCTAACAACATGCGTAAGCTGAAAGGTCAGAAGGGCTGGACTCAGGAGCTCTTTGCTGGAAGCCCAGAACCAGCGTTTTAAGAAATCTAAATAAAACAGAGCCCACAAGGTAAACACTGCTCAAATCCAGAAGGACTTTATAACTACCAAACTGCAGGTTCCAGTTGGGGATGGCAAACCTAAAACAAAATAATACCTGTATTTAAAAAGGATTATCATTAGAAAGAATGGAACAATTTATTGGTACATTTTTCCATAGCATGCAGAAAGTCAGCATAATCAGTTGGTCTTAATCCAACACTAACTTGCTGATTTTAAAAAAATCTCCAATTGAAAAGTCCAGAGTTGTTCTAATCTGCTTGGAATCTCTTTCATGGTAACCGTTACACAACCATTCCATCTTCTTTTCTTCCTCCTTATGTAAGCTCTATAATCACCACCAGTGTTTTCATAGGTTTTTGAAACTGCCCAATTTCTCCAGTAAATATTTAATTCTCTTGTTGCTATGAGTCGAACTATAAACAATACAACATTTTTATATAACATGTTTAGTAATGAGAAAATAAGACACTGATGTCAACAGCACACAGAGTCTATAAACACCAGAATTACCAGGGAGGCCTCTAGGAAATTGGGCACCCATAAAATGAGAATTTCTCCTCACTGCTCAAAGCTTTTGATTGAGTTTATATCCAACTCCCTCTACATCTGTGATATTCTAGCAACTTCTAAAATGCACCTGGACCAGGCTCCTGGCACTAAATAGAACAGGTGTTCTCAGCTATAAAGGCCAGGTACCAAAATGACACCTGTATGTTCTTGATGACAAAGATGAAAGGTCTTCTCTTTTCTCAATTTAATAAGGTAGTTTAGGATCTGTACTGAAAGCCTAAAAACAAATGGAATGAAACCAACTGTTGACTAGTTTCCTGATTCAGACAATGGTCTAAGTGTGGATAGGGAAATGGACCACATTGGAGGCAATCTGCCCGCCCACTGAACAGACAAGGATGATGAGTAAATAACAGAAGAAACAAACACACAGTAACCACAGCGCGGCTCGGGAGAGTCGGGAGAACGGAACTCCAGGCTCGAAATCATCAGACATGGCTTTGGGAAGTGGAACTTGAGGTCAGTGTTGCAAGAAAGCCAGAGCCTTACAGGAAGGCCACCAGGGAGGTCCAGATGAAGACTGGTGTATGAGGAGTCTCCAGAACAGAAAACACCAGCTTCGCCATGGCCCAGGGTAAAGCGGAGGAGAAAAATCCCTCCACTTGGACACAAAATCCTCACTTGTTTCTTCAAAACTCTTATCTCCTTGGGTTTCAAAGTGATTTTCAAAGGGTCAGAGGAACCTCAAAAGTCAAACTAATTGTAACACAGCTTTAGGAAATACACGCTTTGGGCAGGTGACGACAACAGAAAGTCCACTGCAAGATCATCTCAACATCAAGTGGCACAACGGCACACGCCAGCCATCCTAGTGACTGTGAAGATAAGGCAGGAGGATTTCAAGTTCAAGGCCAGCCTTGACAAACTCTGAGACTCTGCCTCAAAATAAAAAATAAAAAGGTCTGGGGGTAGAGCTTCATGGTACAGTGCTTGCATAACATGTGCAAGGCCCCATGCTCCATCCCTAGCACTACACAGAAAAGAGGCTACTGTGTTAACCCAAGTACAGCTGTCACTGGGTGTCTGCTAGGGACTGGTTTCAGTCCATCCTTCCTAATCTATGGATGCTCAAGTTCCTATATAAATGTCATGGTTTTTGCATACAACATCATGGGTCTGTGTATTTTAAATCATCTCTAGATAACTTATCACAACTAACACAATGTAAATAGTTGTTATACTGTATTGTTTAGGAAATGATGGCCAAAAAAAATGTATGCATATTCAGTACAGATGCAGTGATTTCAATCTGCTGTTCGTTAAATTCACAGATACAGAACTCATGGTCTTTGAAGGCCAATTATCTAAGGACCGTGGCAACTAAGAAGATGGAAGTGACAAAGTAGATGAAAGAGAAAGTGATTTCAAAGAAACAGGTGAAGTCTTGGTGTCAGAGAAAAGAACAAGGATGCCCTCTCCAGAAATCAGTAAGGTAATGGGGTCTGGGATCTGGATCAGTGGTAGAGTGCTTGTCCAGCATGCATGAGGCCCTGGGTTCAATCTCCAGCACCACCAAAACAACCAACTAACCAAAACCCCTAGGAACAGAAAAAGTAACGAAATGGGCATATGAGGCAAATCAAAAAGAGTGTGGACGTGAAGAATCTGAGTGGGTACAGAGGAAATCTGAAAAGTGCCCACCAAAGACTACCAGATATTGTGAGAAGAGCTCTATGAAACAATAGCAGGGACAGAGCTTTGTGAATGAAACCCAAAGGTGATAACTGAAACTCTGAGAGTTGGAAACTATTTACTTTGCAGATACCCCTAGACAAAACTCTTTTCCTCACCTCCATCATCATTAATGTTTATTTTTTTTATTTTTATTTTTTGTAGTTGTTGATGTACCTTTATTATATTTATTTGTATGTGGTGCTCAGAATCGAACTCAGTGCCTCATACATGCTAGGCAAGTGCTCTACCACTGAGCCACAATCCCAGCCCCATTAATAAATGTTTTAAAGAATGTAACATATACACTTTGATGACAATGGTTTAAGGGGGAAAAAAAACTCCAGGACACAAAGGAAACAGAAAATGGAAACAAATAGACAAATATGTTCATAGTGGTAGGAATAAGAATACTCTTTTTCTTCCTAATTTTTAGAATATACCAAGTTTGGTTCTGTTCCCTTTTTTTTCTTTTAATAGTAAGATAAGGCTTCTTTTACTAGAAAGTAAAGGATTTCTAAAAAAAGAAAATGATCCAATGTATGTATTAATGAAAGCTTTTATAGATGTATACCTAATTAGTGATTTTCACTACATGTAAAAGCAGATAAATAAAAATAACCTTGACAGAACATTAAACACCAAACTGAATACATCCAATTTGGACAAGGTAAAGCATTAGACCCAATATCAATAGGAGTGTCATTTCTTATAGCTTTTGTATTGGACAACTTGCCAATATTTATTAAAATTTTAAAATTATATACACTGTGCCCAATAATCTTAGCACTAGGTTGTTCTTTCCAAAAAGAACAAAGCTATTGTAATATTGTTTACAAGAGCAAAAAAACACTTAAATACCAAAAGTGTCCATTGAACCTTGAGATAAGGGAGAGGAAAGAAGGAAAAAAGAATGCTCCCTAGCAATGTATATGTGGTTATATTTACAGATTGCCTGGAAAAGGGCGAAGGAACAGTTCTTGAATCACTTTACCCCAGTGTACTCCTCTGTGACCATGACCAAGGACCCAACAGTAGTAGGCACTGAACAAAGAACTGCTGATGATTTTTTTAAAGAGTCAAAAGCATGGGAAAAAAACATGAAAATATTTACCTCCTACCTTGTAATTAATATAAATGGCAAGACTGTGCCTGTTCATTTTCTAGTTTAATCTACTTACATGGAATTTGGCCTAAAGAAGTCCATTACCTTATCATTATCAGTAACCTAACAATTCGTTATTCCCAGTTTGTGCATTCAGACCATTCCTGACATGTACAAAGGGCAAGGTCAAGTACAAAAGGGTTCTGACGGTAAAGAGCTGTCAGCATAATTCCATCATGAAACACAGAAATGGGCATTGTTTTAGATCCACCTAAATGCTGTGGTACAGACCTGTCCATATGCTCTCCCCGTTACAAGTCGCTGAGCTACATTTCCTTGTGCTGCCAACGTCCAAGCTCAAAGCCCCACGAGAAGTCCTGGTTGGTGGAGTCAAGTCCTAGCTAGAGAAAAGCAAATGACAAATTAAAATTAAAAGTAATCATAGACAGGTATAGTGGCGCACACCTGCAATCCCAGGGGCTAAGGAGGCTGAGACAGGAGGATCAATAGTTCAAAGCCAGCCTCAGCAAGGGCAAGGCACTAAGCAACTCAGTGAGACCCTGTCTCTAAATAAAATACAAAACAGGGCTGGGGATGTGGCTCAGTGGTCCAGTGCCCCCGAGTTCAATCCCCAGTACCCCTCCCCTGCACCCCCAAAAAGTAATCACAAACCCAGGAAACACTCTGCATGAATGGAGTCTATACTCACTCAGCCATGCCCAATCCTAGAACACACTCTATTATTTCTTCACTCTTTTGTTTTGCTTTTTTGAACCCAGGGTGTTTTACCACTAAGCCATATCCCCAGACCTTTTTATTTTGAGGCACGGTTTCACTAAGTTGCTGAGGCTGGCCTCAAACTTGCAATCCTCCTGCCTCTGCCTCCATATTGCTGGATGACAGGTATGTGTCACCATGCCAGGCTTGAAAATTCTCTTAATAAAATGTTTGAAAAAATTGCTTGCAGGGGCTGGGTTGTGGCTCAGTGACAGAGTGCTCGCCTAGAATGTGCAAGGCGCTGGGTTTGATCCTCAGAACCACATAAACAAAATAAAGATAATTGTGTCCAACTACGAATTAAAAAAAAAAAAAACTGCTTGCAACGCTATTACCCAGATAAAGCCAGGCTTTCATTCACTTACGTACATCAACATAAATACCAGTGGTCTCACCAACTTGCCAGGCTGGCCTTGAATTTAGGATCCTCCTGCCTCAGTCTCCCAGTCACCGGGATTACAAGCATGCACCACTGCACTCAACTATTATTTCCTGACTCTTACAGAATGTCTGTCTCTGAGGCACCAGCCCAATTCTAGGCTGGGTCACAAACTGCACTCTCAGTTCCTTAAAAATCAACTCTCGTGCTGGGAATGGTGGCACATACCGATAATCACAGCAGCTCGGGAGGCTGAGGTTGGAGGATCTGGAATTCAAAGCCACTCTCAGCAACAGCAAGGCACTAAGCAATTTAGTGAGACCCTGCCTCTAAATAAAATAACAAAATAGGACTGGGGATGTGGCTCAATGGTCCAGGTTCCCCGGAGTTTAATCCCCAGTACAAAAAAAAAAAAAAAATCAACTCTCCAATTTCACAAAATATTTTTAAGCAATTGTATTTTAGACACCTGTAAAAAAGCAATTTTGCACTCTGTTGGGCTAATACACTAGCACAGGACTTTGATTTAAAAGAAAAAGAAATTAAGAGTTTTTTAGTTTATAAAAGCCAAACATTTTAATTACATGTCACATGTGCATCATTTCATCTTCACAACAACCCTTGGGAGCTACCAGGTCAACAGTTTGCAGTAAGAAACCTCAGGAATGCAAAACCTCCTGGTCAAGTTTGTGGACTTAAAACAGGAAGCAACAAGGAGTGTAGGAGTCAGAACCCATCAGATGTACAGCAGAGCCCTCGCCTATAATTGCTACTCTAGGCTACCTTAAATGTCAATGCAAATATAAACTGAAAGTATTGTCTTTATGGGAAAAAAAATAGACTCATTAATACACTGGGCTAGTACTTCTCAAAAAGCTGAAAACACTATTTCTGAAGCTGAGTTCTCAGCAGGTACACAGATGTTCCTTTTATTATTCATTAAATGAACATGTTTTATACACTCTTGTACCTGTGCATGCATTTCACAACAAAAATAACTCAGAGCCATACTTGGTGGCTGTCTCAGGAACAGCCGGTGCTGCCCCAGCCATGAGCATGGTCCTCCCAAATGAAAAAAGATGCCCAAGGCAACCCACAGTTTAGCCAGATTCTCAGTGGAAAATAGCTGTGCCGGGAATCTTTCAACTCTTACCATTAGCTCTTGGGCGAGTCGGCATCGAGCCCAGAGGCCCAGAGGTAAATAATCTCTGAAATGCCAACAGACTTACCCCAGTCCAGACTTCAGTGAGCCTGTATTTTCTTCTTTTTTCTCTTTTCCTCCAGAAACTAAACATTGGTCTTTCACTTAACTCATACACACACACAAAGGCTAACTTTCAGCTAAATAAACTATAATAATGTATGCTGTTCTTTGAAAAATGCAGGTTGCACAATATATCCAGTATGATCCCACTTTTATTGAAAAGAATAATTATACAGTACATATTTATATACACAGGTAGGGGCTGGCGAGGATGCACATCAAGTTGCCTTGAAGTGGGGAAGAGGAGTAGAAGAAATCATTCAGTTTTTCCAATTTACTTTACACAATTCTGACAAGTTAGAATTTTTCTAGTATGTGTACACTTCTTTTATAAATCCTTTTTTAAAAAACTAAGACGTGTTAATTTAAAAAAAAAAAGGTTCCATGAGGGCAAAATTTCACATTAAAAAAAATGTCATTTTAGCTGCAAATCCAGAAAAATTCTGAAAGATCACATAAAAATACTTTGATTTCTTAAAGACTTATTTTTGAAAAGTACTTTTCTAGGCTGGTTAGTATGATGAGTGGAAAGGCTTGGTTTCCTATTCCACTGGACCACGCCACAGAATTGGGTCAGAAGTTTTTATACTGCAAAAATGCAAATACACTTTCGAGAAAAGAATCATTGAGAAAGGAGTTAAGCAGGAAGAACCACTCTACAAACAAAAACAAGACTGGGTTATCAGTGAGTAAGCACCCTTGAACTTATGTCAGAGTACAGGCAGAATGCCCCTCCCCTTTGTAGGCTCTACCAAGCTCTGGAAATATGAAAACTTGCCCTTCACACACAAGGCCATAATGCTGACTTCAAAGCCCCGACCCCTGCAACAGGCCAGAGGAACATCACAGGAAGCACAAGGTCGACCACCTGACTTTTCCCCATGACGGCTATGCTGAACTCACAAGCCACTCTGTTGCTCTATAATTGTGGTTTGTAAAAGTACTTGAAGGTTAAACATCTCCAATTCAAAAATCCAAAATCTGAAGCTTTTTGAATGCAAACTTGATGTCATGAAACTTTGTTCAGTGCACAAAATTATTTTAATATAGTGTATAAAACTACATTCAGGGATGGGGGTGTTGCTCAGTAATACAGCATGCGCAAAACCCTGGGTTTAACCCCTAATATAGGGGAAAAAATTACCTTTGGGCTCTATGTATAAGGCATATATAAAACAAATGAATTCTGTGTGTAGACTTTGGGTCTCATCCCTAAGGTTTTTCACTATGTATATGCAAATATTAAAAAAAAATCTGAAACACTTTCTATTTCATGCATTTAGGATAAGAGATATCCTAACTGAATATGCTGTAGCTTCCAGACTTTAATTTCATAGAGAAAATAAACAAATATCACCAAAAATTTGAGAAGGAAATCATACCAAACTGCCAGTTTTTGTCTTTTACCATGTTATTTAACATCCATCCCTGAGTCTCTCCATCATTTTCTTTAAAAAGGAATGTAAAATGTTTCAAAAACAGAAAGGATAGAACCCCAGGGCCCACATCATCCACAGATCAGCATCTCTGAGCTGCCAAATACTTGTTAAATTCAGTAAAGGCCAAAACACCTCCTGATTTACAAAACAAGAACTAAAACTTATCTAATGCAAATTAGAAACACTTCCTGTATAAGTCAAAGATACTATTAGAAAACTAGGGCAAACAACACACTACCTATTCTTTATGCTTTTATATTTAGTTTTGTGTGTGTGTGTGTTGTTGTTTTTTTTAAGATTTAAACAACAACAACAACAACTTTGGGCACAGTGGCACATGCTTGTAATACTAGCGACTCTGGAGGCTGAGACAGAAGGATCAAGTTTGAGATCAACCTCAGTAACTCAGTGAGACCCTGTTTCAAAATAAAGCACCTATGGATTAAATTTCTAGTACCGTACAATGAATCAAAATGCTTTCTGCTGTCATGTATAACTAATTAGAACAAATTAAAAAGTAAAAAACAAAATTCTAGTACCAAAACAAAACACAAGTGTACACTTTGAACTCACGATGCAATTGGCAAATTTTTTAGGAAAACTATTTTTTTAAAAAAAACGTGAACAAGGCTGGGCTGAGTGGGCTCTACAAGTGGTAGAGCAGTTGTCCAGCATGCACAAGTCCTGTGTTTCATCCTCAACACTGTAAAAAAGAAAACCTGAACAAGTAACAATAAGTAGACAAAATTACAAAAGCAAAGAAACAGCCTCAAAAAAGGATGCATGCTCAAACTAGTCCACAGGTTAGTTATTTCCCAACCTTTCGCGTAAGAAATGGGAAACGGGAAAGCTTCCCAATTTCTTCTGGAAAAAACTGATAAATCGACAAAATATAAGAGAAGGAAACTGAGTTAACCTCATTGCCATTCCTATTTTGTTTCAAAAGAAAAAAATTCTTGACGTGAAAAGACTGACATCTGGTTCCAATCTTGATTCCTTTGATTCACGTGTGTGTCTTCTTTTATGAAGAGTAAGTGCCTTTTACCCATTTTTTTCAATAGGTGCTAGAGTTTTTCTTATTCATTTGCAAGAATTCTAAAGTTAACCCTTTGTTGTGTTGCCATTTGTTTATACCACTTAAAACAAAGGTCATTTAAAAAAGTATTTCTGAAGTCAAATCTGAATCTCCTTCTGCAATGACCTCCTATCACTTCCACACTTAGGAACTGTCACATCCCACTACAAAATCAGAGAAACAGTCATCATCATTTGCAGCTAGATGTTTTTGGTCAAAAATCATTTTAAGCGAGGTACAGGGACGCACGCCTATAATTCAGGTAGTTTGGGAGGCTGAGATAGGAGGATCATAACTTTGAGGCCAGTCTCAACAACATAGTGAGAACCTAAGTAACTTAGCAAGATACTGTTACAAAATTTAAAAAGGACTGGGGATGTGGTTCAGTGGTTAAGCATCCTTGTGTTCAATCCTCAGTACCCAAAATTTTTTTTTAACATTTAATATCCATCCCTCTAAAAGTACAC